GGCGGCTTGTTTTACAACGTCGTTGCCAAGCGACGAAAACCCAACCCCGATGGTAAACACCGGGGGGGTGGGGGTGGGGGGGGCTTGTTCTAGGCGAAGAACGAGCGACGGCGGTGTCATCAAGGGCGAGCGGCCACAACACAACACAGCGCGACTCACTCCCCGTTGGTACAATTTTTGTGTCATCACACGACTATGCTTATGCCGAAACGCCTCCAAATTATCAAAGCTCGTGTTGCACGCGACGAGACACAGCAGCAGCAGCAGCAGCAGCAGCAGCATTCCTGACAGCTCCATGCCCCGAAAACCACTTCCGTCCCCGATCCCCTCCTGCACCCACCTGCTTCCCTTGACCAAAGAACGCCGATTCTTCGTCGTCGGGAACTCCAGAAGCCGCCACCGGTGCGTCGGCCATGAGTGCCTCTTCTGCCTGGCTGACCTCTTGCTCCGAACCGTCGCCGACGCTACCAACAGCGTTGATGCCGACAGCAGTGATGCCAGCACCAGTGTCGCCGGCTGCACGAGGATCAACGCTTTGCGCAGGGTATCGGTGGTGATGCTCCCGGCTGGCAGAGAGCGATCGTTCTTCCAGATCCAAAGGCGGCTGCTGCTGCTGCTGCTGTTGCTGCTGCTGTTGTTGCTGTTGCTGCTGCTGTTGTTGCTGCTGTTGCTGCTGCTGTTGCTGCAGCTGCCGTTGTTGTTGTAGCAGATGCTGTTGTTGTTGCAGCTGCTGTTGTTGCTGCTGCTGCTCCTGCTGCTGCTGTTCTCCCCCCACTCCCGTCGCCGCCGATGCGGTCACCTCCCCCGCCGTTGCAAACAACCCCGTCGCAGCACCGCCACCGGACACAGAAACCTCGCCAGCCGCCGCCGAGACACCAGAGTACGGCGAGACGCCAGCCCCTGCGTCCTCGTCGCCGCTGCCCTCCTCGCCCGTCGCTGCCCCCGCTCGACCGCCATCGCCGCTCCCTTGCGCTTGCGCCCTGGCCGCCGCTTCGACAAGCCCCCGCCGGGTCTCTCGGACCAGCCGGAGTCTCTCTTGCTCCGGTGGCATCGGCCCAAGTGTGCGTCCGGAGTACGGCCATGCGGAGGAAGAAGAAGCAGCGGTGGCGGCGGGGATCGAGGAGCGGACGGCGGTAGTGTCGGCGGCGGCGGCGGCGGTGGGTGGGGGTGGTGTCGGCCACCAGGACGGCCACTCCCGCCACTCGCTAGCGTCGATCTGGCACACGGAAGAGAAAAAAGAAGAAGCGTTGTTAGTGAGTGATAGCGTCAAAGCGTTGCAGCTGTGTGTTACTGATGTCGACCATTGTCGGTCCGGCAAGGACACACGGGAGAGCAGAAGAACGACCACATTTTTCACAGAGCGATCAATGAGAGAGCAAGCCAACGCGATATCTTGTGTGAGTTTGGTGATGGACACTTCGCTGCCATCACCTGGGGCTGGTCTAACAAGAAGGTGCTGCACGGGACAAAAGCCTGCCTCGTGGGCGTCCTTGCCCCGCCCCCCAAAAAGAACAAAGTAGACACCCCCCTTTCGCAACACCAAAGAGCAAAAACGCACTGTACAAACACGACCACCTCAGACGCATACACATGCCTCCGAAGCAAAAGAGACAGCAAGGTAGCATCTGGCCAAAAAACAGCAGGTTTCGACGCTCATACCTCCTCCACAAGCTTAACACCTCTCTATTGTCAAAATAGTCAAAGCTATGCAGTAGTAGCCTAGTTGCCAGGAAGGCGCGTCGCCGTCCCGACATCGTGTTATTACCTCCGGAGCCAAACCCGGGGCTCCTTGCCCAAGATCCCCGGTTGCGGGGCGACGCCTCTCCGGGAGGTTCGTCACCTCCGTTCCCGGCACGCGGACGCTTTCTCCTCCGCGGGGCCCCACTCCGAACCGAGCGCGCCGGATTTCCTGGAACGAAAGACAAGCGAGGTGCGGCGGGCGCAAGACACACACACACGCTAAGCAAGCAAGGGGAGATAGATGGCATGGAGCTCTCGGGGAACGATGACCGAAAGGCACACGCGCGCGCCATCGCGACGTGCAGCACGTGCTCGAGACCGTCTGCCTATGACGTATCATCGGTGAAAAGAAAGGAAAATTCGCTCGGGTTCATGCCCCCTTCCCCCACCTCCCACACACGCATGTACACACTAGATGACGCGCTCTTCGCATAGTTTATAGCCTCATTTCAATTGACGCCTTTTCATTGGTCATCGACTATGCTAGCACGGTCGATGCTACTAAACA